TATTGCCTTTGGCCCACCGAGTCAGAGCTTCAAGCATATCCATGCCCCAGATGATGTGCACCACACCCATTACGTGTGAATATACCCATCCCCTCCGTCCCCTCCCACCTGCCCTACCTCTTATGAATGTTACTCCTATATGTGCACATAAGTGTTGGCCAGTTAGTACCAATTTGATTTGACGGTGAGCACGTCGGTGGAAGGTGGCTTTTGTTATCTGGTGGGGTCTGCTCATCTGATTTGGCTGTTCATGTGGCACTTCTTGGGGAAGTTCAGGTCACACAGTGGCTGTTCAGTATGTAATTGCTGGGTCTAACTCTACTGTCTCCGAATTTTCAAACCAACACCCGAATCTCCGATCAAGCTCCATGCTCCTGGCATAGGGCTTGCTACTCCTCTTCCTCATCAAGCCCAGGCTGCTCACAGAGCAGAGGCAACGTGTGGCCGGATCCCAAAGGTCACCAAGGGCTGGGTGGGCCTGGAATATGATGTGTGCTAACCACCGCCAGATCTGTCCCCCACTTTGTTGTCATGGTGTCCACCTATGTGTCCCCAACATGGGGACAGATGGTAGTGAAGATATTGTGATAGCAAAGAACCTGCATCTTGGGCTGGCAGGGAACAGCTTGGACACTGGAGCCAGTCCTGAGTCCAAATGCTCTGCAACTCCTTCTTCAGATGATCTTGGCAAGTCACCAAACCTCTCTGAATGTCATCTGTAAAAGAGGGGATAATAACTCCCAAACCTGAGGGCATAATAACCCCAAAACCTGCTTCCCAGTGATGTTACGAGGATTAAATGAGGTCGTGTCTATGTATAAAGTGACTGGCAACATAACAGAGGGAAAAATTGTGATTCTTTTTCTTTCCCTCCATCTCATCTGAGTATTGGGGGTGACAGCTCCTTGCCAGATAATCCTGAAAGGAATCCAGGAAGACAAAAGCTGTGGAAAAGTTTCAAAGATTAGAAAGCGTAAGCCTCCAGAGCTCTGGAGCCTGGTTCAAATCCTAGCACTGCTCCTACTAGCTGTGTGACCATGAACTAATCACTTAACTTTGCTGTGCCTCAATTTCCTCATCTGTAAACTGGGCAAACAGTATTATCTACTCCAAGATGTTTTGTAAAGAGAACATGAGCCAATGTATAGAAAGAGCTTAGAGCAATTCTAGGCCCCTAGTAAGCATGCTAGAAATGTTAGTGATGATGATGATGATGATGATGATGAAGAAGATTGAGCTGCAAAGTTGTGTGCTCCAGTAGGACAGGGATCTCTTGGTCTTGGTCACCATCAGCTCCCTGTCTCTGGAACAGCACTGCCAAGATTCCTGAAAGGTTCCTGGAATTAATGAATGGGTGGGCTGTGCTCCTCACCATGATCAGCTCTGTGCTGGGGCATCTCTCCCATGCTTCCTGCCCTGGATGCCCCTTTGGCACGCCACTCCGTCAAGATGAGGGACTGACATGTGTGTTTCCTGAGACCAGGCACTCTTCTCAGCAGACCAGGCTCCATGGCATGGCCTTGCAGAGTTGCCAGTTGGAACCCTCATGCTCCCGCCTTCCTGGTACCAACACTCACTGAGGTCTCTCCTATGTGCGTGGCCCAGTGCTGGGGATGTGGCGATGCCAAGACCCTGCCTTCCTGTCTGGTGGGGCGGGGAGTGGCTAGGAGGCAGAATTACAATGCAGGGTGATCAGTAAATGGATAGGGGGACCACAGGGAAATGTGGGAGCCCAGAGGAGCCACCAACCCAGCTGGGGCCAGAGGAGACAGGGAAAGTTTCCCAGAGGAAGTAAAACCCAAATGAGGATTGTCTCAGGTGAAGGGGGAGCAGGAGAGCTTTCCATGCGGGGTAATTACGTGAGCAAAGGCCTAGTGTTTAGCAGGAACTGTTGGCAGATTGTGTGGCTGGAGTAGAAGGTGTGCAAAAGCAGCATGTGAGGTCCAAGGCTGTGCAGCGGGCTGGGGCTTGAAGGGGTTGAAGCCGTTGACACCAGGCAGAGGAGTTGGGCCTTTATCCTGAGGGCACTGGGGAGTCAAGGAAAGGGATGGGTGGTGGTGGGAGGGGACAAAGCCGCCCTCCTCTTCTCCATCCTGTCATCTCACCAAACACCAATCTCTTTGCTCCCTTTCTTGGCCTTGCTTTTTTCTGAAACCTGCCAAGAGTGCTCCCAGCTTGGGAAGGGGTGAAGATTCACAGTCAGGGCTGGGAATGGGGTTGGGGTTAACGTCGGGGTGAGGACCTGGCTTGGAGTTTCATTTGTATTTGTTCTGAATGGGCCTCATCCTGTGGATGATGTTGGGTCATGTTTGAGTGTCCTGGGGCTGGATAGGCAGCCAGTCTCTCGGGGGCACACACACGGCTGGGACAGCGGCTGGGCTCCAAGCACAGTGTCGTGGGACATCGAGCTTTTTGCCATTGGTTGGGGGCAGTATGTATTCTTGGGGCAAGCTTTGCCAGGCCTGGGAGCGGCCTCCTAGCAGGAGTCAAGGCACGCTTGGAGGGGTGGAGCCAGCAAGAGTCTGTGAGGTGGGAATTATTATCCCAGTTTCCAAACAGGAAACACCCTGGGCTCAGAGAGGTTAAGGAACTTGCCCAAGCTCGTGATGAACAAAGGCAGGACTTGAACCCCAGCCTGCTGACTCCTAAATTGCTGGGATTCGCAAGGTGTCTATTTCAGGTGAGCCCAAAAGAGAGCTGGAGACGGGTGGACCTGCAGGGCGGGCAGCCTGGGGAGGGGGTGCCGAGCTGATGACTCTCACCAAGACAGAGCCTTGGACCAACAGAGCTGGGCCTCGGATGGGGGCTAATTCCTCCCACTCTGAAGGGCACTTGGGGGTTGAGAGAGAGAAAGAGAAGCCCCTGAGAGAGGCCGGCGGTGGTGGGGTCAGGCGGGGTTAGCCTGCCCTCTCGGGTGAGGTTTGGGCCCATGTACACCGTCCACCTGTGAATAGCACCAGATCGAGTATCTGCCTCCCTCGGGCCCTCCTGCCCCGCCTCTTCTCCCTGCCCCGCTACCACGGCTGGCCCACGCCTCAGTGCACCTGCTCTATGGGCCTACTCTAATCCCCTGACATCACCGCCTGCCCACACAGGCCCTGCCCGCCAGCCCCGCCAGCCCCCAGCCTTGGAGACCCAGGTGAGGACCCCCTACCTCAGAAGCAATCTATCTCCTCAGCCTCCTCACTCCTTCAGCTTGCAGTTCAGATCTGGGGCACCCCACTTCCAGCCCCAAGCTGGGGTCAGGGTCTGCCCTGGCTCTGCTGTGTGACTCCAGGTAAGTAGCTGCCCCTTTCTGGAGTTTAGGCTCCTTATCTAAGCCCTCCCAACCCGGCAAGTCACATCAACCTGTCTTGGCTTCTTCTCAGTACCTTGTGGGTTGTTATTGGTTCACACGTTTATTGTTGGTCTCTGTGCCAGCACACAGTAGGTGCTCCATTAATAACTGCTGAGGGATGTGTGATCCCATCTGCTCCATTAATAACTGCTGAGGGATGTGTGATCCCATCTGCCTCCGTGTCACCTCCTAGCCGGGGCAGGTGGGGTGGGCAGGATTCCAGCCCCCCTGGATGGAATTAGGGTTGGGGTCTGGCTGACCACTCTGACTCAGAGGGTGGTCAGGGATGAGAACCGCACACGTGCTCCATTATGGAGAGGTTGGGAAGGCCTGGAGAGGGACCAGAGCCCGGGAGCTATCTCCTCCGGGGGTGGGGGTGGGGTTCCTCAGGTGTGTGTGTCTGTGTGTGTCCGTGTGTGTTGTGCCTGGGCCGAGGGACAAGCTCTCCCAGCATGTCAGAGGCTGAGATGTGGCTAGATCCCAGGACTCCAGCTGCGTGTGTGCGTGTGCATGTGTGTGGGCACGAGGTACCCTGTGTCTGCTCTGCGCAGGTGCCTCTGGCTGGGCCCCCACGTGTGCAGTATGTGTTCACCTGTGTGCATCTGTGTACATGTGTGCTCATCAGTCTGGGACTCTGGGTGTGTAGTCATGTGTAGGCCTAGCATGATCCAGCACATAGGTAGGCATGTCTGCTAAAGTGTCAGCTCCACGAGGACAGGGATAGTGTTTGTCTGGTCCCATGCTCTGTCCCCAGCACCTAGAACAGGGACTGGCACACAGTAAGGGTCCACAGGTATTTGAATGAATGAACACATGAAAGTGTGTGCTCATGCCTGGCATGTGCCCACGTGCCAACACGTGTGTAGACGTGTGCATGCTCCTGTGTCTAAGGGTGCACCTGGGTATAGATGATGTTGCTCACACACCACCCCTCCTGTCCCTTTTCCAAACTCCTTAGGAGCCAGGGCCAATGCTTGGGTCCCTGTGGGGCGGAGCAGGGGGCCGCCTCCTCAGGGGAAACTGGATCCCAGGACGTGCAGAGCAGCAGGGAGCAGGGCGGCCCCTTTGTCCCCCATAATCCCCTCCCTGCCCTTGCCCCTCCTTCCCAGCCACCAGGGTTTAAGGTCGAATTTGGGAGCTGTGGGGGTCTAGGATGTCACCTCAGAGTCCCCTTCCCTAGCTATTCCCTCCCTCTGGGGTTTTTGCACCCTGAGTCCCGGGCCTCTCTGGCTGGAATATATGCCCTCTTTTGGGTCCCACCCAAACCTCGCCCTGTCCTGTCCCGTGGCTGGGTCTGTCTCTCATTCTTTGCCAGGATCCTGCCCACTGCCCGCCCCTCCACCCTAGGGCATTACTCCCTGCCTCCCTGTTGGACGGCCCCAGGGCTCAGCCCCAGGTATAAAGCCACCCAGAAGGGAGGACAGGTGCCCTGGAAAGACCCAGAGACGGCAGAGAGGAAGGAGCCGAGGAGAGAGCATGAGCTGTCCAGTGGGTGAGTGAGGGGCAGGGGCCAGAGACCAGGAGGGGAGGGGGCCCTGCCCAGCCTCTCTGGCCCCTCTGACTCAGGTGCCCAGCTGTCTTTGCCTCTGCTGGAAACCTCCAAATCCTTCCACATAGAAGGCTTCATTCATCATTCATCTGACAAATATTTATTGAGTGCCTATTGTGTGCTAGGTACCATCTGAAGCATTTGGGGATATGGCAGCGAACAAACAGACGAAATCCATGGCCTCGTGGGGGTTTCATCCTGCAGACATACATGTACCAAATGAGTAAACGGTCAAGCTAGTGTGATAGAGTGGTGCAATGATCCAAGTCTGTTGAAGGAATGAACAAAAGGGCCTTCCCTTTCAGCCTCTCTCAGTTGGTTGTGAACTTTTGGGAACTCCTGGGTTTGCCTCTCACCTCCATCACTTCCTAGCTGGAGACCTTAGGTAGCTCCCCACTTCTCTGATCCTCACTCTGTTTGGTGGGAACCAAAGAGCCAGGCCTTTGAGAGGACAGGTTGGCAGCATCTACCCAAACTTAAAGTAAGCATGCCCTCCAATCCAGATACTCCCACTTTCAAAAGTGCCCAAAGAGGCTGGGACCAGGATGTTCATGGCAGCATTCATTCACTCATTCATTCAACAAAAAATTATTATGGGGAACCAGCAGTGAAGGAGCCAGGTGAGGTTTCCTCTTCCTGGAGCTAACACCCTGGTGGGAGAGACAGCAACAAGCAAGGGAACAAATAAATACATGAAGTTCTTTCAGATAGTGAAAATCTCAGCAGTGCCCAGGGACCAGGCCTTTGCAGGACACATAGAGGACTTTGGATTTTACTGAGAGAGATGGGAGCCATGTGAGTGCTCGAGCAGAGGAGGGATGTGGCTAGACCTGGGGGACTTGGTGGAGGTGGAAGCAGACAGACGGGGACGGAGGGGCTGCTATCCAGGCCAGGTGATGGTGAGGTGCTAGCAGTGGAAGGAGGGGGAGAAGTGGTTAGATCCTGGGTACATCTTTTCATCTTTTAAAACTTTTTATTAAAAGTAACAAATGTACAGAAAAGTGCACAAGTCCTAAGTGTATACAGCTCAATGGATTTTCACAAAGTCAACATATACTTGTAAGGAGCGCTCAGATGAATCAGGAAACACGCAGATGAAGAAACATGTGCATTGGCTGCCTTTTAAGGATAGAGCCAACAATGTTCTGGGGAACACGGTGAGGCATCCAAGAGGACCCCACGGCTTGGCCTAAGCAATTAGAAGAGTGGAAGTGCTCTCACCTGAGGTGGGAAGTCGGGGGACGGGGGCAACCGGAGTTGTGCATTGATATTTTGAGTTTGAGATGCTTGCTAATATCCAAGTGAAAATGTCAAGTAGGAAGTTGAATACGTGGGTCTGGAGTTCAGGGGAGTGTTTTGAGTTGGAAATAATCTACTTACAGGATGACTGTGCCCTGACTTGCATATATACAAGGTAGCTGTAGGCCAAAAGGGCTGTACTCTTCTTAGGAGTTGTTGAGATGAATGAATGAATGGGCAGGTAGGGTCAGGGACTTGACCTTATTTCCTCTGCCAGGGCCCCTTTGCCTGCTGACGCTGCTGTTGCCACTCCTCAGTCCGGCAGCCCCCATCTCCCCAGCTGGGCCCATCAGTCAAGCCTATAGCCTGGCCCTCTACATGCAGAAGAACACATCCACGCTGCTGCAGACTTATGTGAGTGACACTGGGCATAAGCAGGGGACAAGGTGGGGGCACTGCCCTCCTGGCCCAGCCCTAGGTAGGAGAAATAGAGCAAGCCCAGAAGACACCTCCATGGGCCTGAGGATACAGGGGCTCTGTTCACTAGAGACACACTCACTCAAATGCTGTCACTGGCTGGGTGTGGTGGCTCATGCCTGTAATCCTAGCTCTCTGGGAGGCCGAGGCGGGAGGATAACTGGAGCTCAGGGGTTTGACACCAGTCTGAGCAACACTGAGACTCCACCTTTTTTCTCTTTCTACAAAAGAGAGGGGAAAAAAAGAAACAGACAAAAAAAAAGTACATGAAACAACAAAATCCATGGTGCGAACCTGTAGTCCCAGCTACCAGGAGGCTGAGGAGGAAGGATTGCTTAAGCCCCGGAGTTGGAGCTTGCGGTGAACTACAACGACATCACTGCACTCTACCCAGGGACACCGAGTGAAACTCTGTCTCAACAACAAAAAACAAAACAAGGAAATGCTGTCACTGATAGCTGGGTGACGTTGGGCAAGTCATTCCTCCTCCTTTGGTCTCAGCTTCCTCATCTGCAAAATAAGATGATGATCCTGCCTTTGCTGACTTCCCAGGACTGTTACAAGGTTCAAAGGAAGCACTTAGAGGGAAGGGCTTTCCACAGTCAGGGTTAGTTGACTAACCACAGCCACCTCACGCTGGGTGTTACTTGGGCACTATGCCAAGCTAGGCATATTAGGCTCTATTTCCATTAATATAAGTTCAAACAGTTCTGAGAGGTGGAATTATAATCCATTTTACAGATGAGGAAACTTAGTCTTAGAGGGGGTAAATAATTTGCCAGAGGTCACAGAGCTAATAACTGGCAGTGCGAAGATCTAAAACCATGCCTGTGGAACTCCATGCCACCAACCCCACCCCTGCCTCATTGTTTAGAAGTTAAAACTGATAGCCTGCTGGCTGGGTCTGACCCATAGATGGTTTTTGTTTGGTCCATGCAGTGCTTGTTCAAATTGTGAGTATGAATACCTGTCTATTACAGGTATAGGGATCCTGTTGACCAAAATCACCTCTCACCCCCACCTTTATTCCTGCCCTCTTCCCAAGTTACATGATCTGCCTGGCCCTGGAGGTCTTCGAATTTCAACTTTTCCACTGCATTATATTCCAGGCCCATGTGAAGTTAATCTAATTTCTAGTGCCATAGCTGCCACTATTCCCTGGATGGCCTTGGGCACCCAGAGCCTCAGTTTCTCCACCCGTAAAATGGGGAAGTAGGACTAGGTGATCAACCAATTAGGAGATCTATCAGTGTGCATATAAGATTCTGTGGGTCTTGGTTAGGTGAAGTAAGAACTTTGATGGGGAAGGTTCTCAATTAAATTTAATAATATTAACAATTATTTATTAATTACTGTAATAAAATTAACAAACATAAACAACTAACTGCTTTAAATAAAAAAGATATCAGGCTGTAACTACATTGTCAATAATATACATGGATCAAAAATATAATAACTAATATAATCACAGTGTTCATTGATATTAATATATTATTAATTAATGATGACTTATCACACCCTTATTGCATGTCAGATGCTGTGCTAAGTGGTTTGTATGTATGATTTCTTATCATCTTCACAATAATACTGCCACATGGGAATTGCTGAAGCTTGTGATTCAATGTTGCACAACTGGTACAGGGAGGATGACAAACTAGAGCCTAACAGGCCCTTGCTTTGTGTTAAGACAGCCCACCAACTTCCTGAGGGGTGGCGAGTGGCAACTTGTCCTGGGAAGATGCCAGTCTCAGAGAGCAGATATGCAGTCAAAGCCCCAGATACCCCGTTGGTCCCCTCACTCCTGTCTCTGTCCCTCCTGCAGCTCCAGTACCAGGGCAGCCCCTTTAGCGACCCTGGCTTCTCAGCCCCCGAGCTCCAGCTGAGCAGCCTGCCTCCTGCCGCCGTTTCATTCAAAATCTGGCACGCCCTGGATGATGGGGAGCGGCTGAACCGTGCCCAGGGGGCCTTCCTGGCCTTGACCCAGCACCTCCAGCTCGTGGGGGACGACCAGAGTGACCTGAATCCTGGCAGTCCCATCCTGCTGGCCCAGCTCGGGGCTGCAAGACTCAGGGCCCAAGGCCTGCTAGGCAACATGGCTGCCATCATGACTGCCCTGGGGCTGCCTATCCCCCCAGAAGAGGACACTCTTGGACTTGTTCCTTTTGGGGCATCAGCCTTCCAGAGGAAATGTCGAGGCTACGTAGTGACCCGGGAATATGGCCACTGGACAGACCGAGCTGTGAGGGACTTGGCTCTGCTCAAGGCCAAATATCCAGCATAGAAGGTAGGAGTTCCTGTCAGAGGCTACACCACTTCCTCTTTCACAGTGGATTCTTTTCTGCCTTACTTCTGGGCTAGAGAAGGAGATACATCTCGTCTAGCAGGGCTTGTGTGCCATGTCTTGGGAAATATTTCCTGGAAGCCAAGTTTCAATTCCTCATTGCCTGGGCCTTCCTGCCCAGGTCCCATGGCTTCCCTTCCAGATTTGGGTGGGTCTCCATGGATACTACTACTTCATGGATTACCAATCCAGTGGTCCTGCTTCCTGTTTAGAAAGAAGTGCCTCTCTGAAGAGGCTTCACTTCCCACTATAGGACAGTTGGTCTCTTTGCTGGGTGCTCCCTGAGACCTTCCCCTTCCTGTGATTCTGGGGAGGTCCAGGGCCGCCTTTCTGTCTCCATCTACCTCACTTCCTGTATGAAGATATGGCCTTTCTGAGCAGACAGGCCTCCCATCTTGCTGAAATTTATTTCCTCCCCTAGTCTACTTCTCTGCCTATGGCTACTGTTCTACTTCCTGTCTGAAGAGGTTTCACTTCCTGATCAGTGATGTCCAATTTTTCAAGAACTATGGACTCAGTCACATGTTTTCTGCTTGGACACATCCATGTCCTGTTCTGGCAGGCTGGTAGATAGAGTCCCTGGCCTGGGGCTCTCATGAATCTCCTATTTATTTTTTATTTTTTTTTTTTATTTTTTTATTTTTTTTTTTAAGCAATTTCAAGTAGATGTAGAATCTCCTATTTATAATGCGCCTTTTAGGTATGTCTGGGGAACCAAGCTTCACCCCAAGGATCCTATTCTCCTCAAAGCTGTCTCCCCATTTTCAACAACTGTATATATACAGGTAACTTTCGTTTTCTTTTTATTTTTCAACATTTTATTTACTAAAAATTAATTTATTTTCAGAAATAAAATTCTTTTAAGGTGTTTTTTCTCTATTCACAGACCTGGCTTGGATGGGGTGGAGGTGTGCGGGGAAGGAAGGACATCAAAGCTAGAGGGGGCAGGGCCCGAAAGGGACCTGTTGGGGAGAGTGAGGACAGAAGATGGAATGACGTCCGGGGAGGTGGCTGAAATTTGGAGGCCTTCCCACCACAGGACCAGAAGGCACGTCCCTGGCCAGGAAAGGATGGACAAAGACAGAGGGAGACAGAGAGACAAGTATCACCTTGAGATGAGGCTGAGATGTACACACGCTCATGTGGGGCCGATGGGAGACACGAGAGGGGAAAGGAGAGAGACAGAGAGGCCTCCTGGAGCTGGGGGAAGGGGGAGACCAAAACAGACCTACGGAGGCAAGCCCAAGGATGGAGGGAAAGAGGGAAAGTAAGAGGATGGTAGACGCTTGGAGAGTGCCTACGGAGACGAGGAGGTCGAGAGAGAACGCAAGAGGGCACGCAAAGCAAAGAGGTGGGGGACAGAGCAACGGAGACAACCGGAGAGCAGACAACACCGACGGAGATGAGAGTACTGCAGACAGACAGGTGGAGAGACGGCGACAGAGCGAGCTGCGCCCCCAGTCCCGCGCTCAGGCTGGGCCCCCGGGCACCAGCTGGCTCAGGTCGCCCTCGGTGCGGCTCACCCACTCGCGGTAGAGGCCGCACACGCGGAGCCCCAGCACCTTGGCCGGAAAGACCCCCGCGGCGGTGGCGGCGGTGGCGGTGGCGGTGGCGGGGGGTTCAGGCCGGGGCCCGTGGGCGGCGGCGCCCAGCGCGGCCAGCACGGTCTCCAGGGCGGCGCCCAGGGCCCGGACCTGGCGCGCCGCGTCCTCCAGGTGCCGCAGCAGGCGCGGCGCGCGGGGGTTCAGCTCCGCCTGGCGGCGGCGCACGGCGTCGAGCAGCGGGGGCAGCGCGGCCAGCGCGGCCGCGTCCAGCCGCAGTCGCTCGGGCAGCGGCAGCCCCGCGTGGCTCGGTGCCGGGGCGCTCAGGCCGGCCACCGGCAGCCGCGGTGGTGAGAACCCGGGCAGCCCGAAGGGGTCTCCCTGGTGCTGCACCTGCGGAGACATGGCCGGCGGTCAGTGGGGCTCCCCAGGAGGGGGCGGGGGACCTTCCACTCTTAACCGAGCCCTCCATCCCTCTGCAGGGGCCTCAGTTTCCTCATTTTGCAAATAATTCCTCCGGACATCGATGTTCTGAGATAAAACAAAATAACGTGGGCCTCACACCAGTGCCTTTATTTCCACCTCTCTAAATTGGAGCGAATAACAGGATCCACTTCAGAAAGCGTTATGAGCATCTCGAGTGCTCAAGGCAGGGCCTGGCCCCTAGGAAGGCCTCCATAAATGTTAGCTCATTTATTAATGTTATTTTACAGACCCAGGTTCAAATCCTGCTCCACCTCTTACTAGCTGTGCAGTTTTAGGCAAAACCATTTTCCCTCTCTGAGCCTCAGTCTTCTCATCTGTAAAGTGTGGGGAAGCAGCTTCCTGTCCTGTCTTCCTATCAGAAGTCTCCTGAGAATCATATAAGATAGTGCAAAGGTTGGGTGCAGTGGCTCAGCCTGTAATCCTAACACTCTGGGAAGCTGAGGCAGGAGGACTGCTTGAGCTCAGGAGTTTGAGACCAGCTTCAGCAAGAGCGAGACCCAGTCGCTACTCAATAATGAAAGAAATTAGCTGGGCAACTAAAAATAGAAAAAATTAGCTGGGTGTGGTGGCACAGGCCTGTAGTCCTGAGGCTGAGGCAGGAGGATTGCTTGAGGCCAGGAGTTTGAGGTTGCTGTGAGCTAGGCTGACACCACAGCACTCTAGCCTGGGCAACAAAGCGAGACTCTGTCTCAAAAAAAAAAAAAAAAAGAAAGATAAAGGTGATTTGTAATTTGTAAAATGCTATAACAATAACATTTATCCTTTGCTAACATCTTGCCTCTGTTATAGGCATTGTTTGCTGCTTTGAACACACTATAATCTTTCCAGTAATGAGAATGATGATGGCTTTGTAAATAAGAAAAGTAGGGCTGAAAAGATACAGTGACTTGCCCTAGGTCACCCATCTAGGAAGTGGGAGAGCTGGAATTTGAATCAAAGTTGATAGGACTACAAAGCTAGTTCTATTATCCCCCTATCTGCTTTATAATTGTTATATTGTTGTTTCTAATGTTATCATTACTGCCCAAGGTCACAGTTCACAAGTTGGCAAGCCTACAATCAGTCTGATTCAAAGCTATAAAGCTATCCCTTTCCTCTACTACACCAGGGTAATTTGGGAAAATATCTTCTTTCCTTGGGCAGGGCCTTCTGCCCAACCAAAGATGTCAGCAGATCTTCCTCTTCTGTAAAAGTCACCTTTTGGGATAGAATTTTTGCCCCAGATTGAAACCTCTTCTTGGCCTCTCTGAATATCCCAGGTAGAAGAGTTCATAGTTCACCTCATTCAGCTGCCTCCTTTTACAGCTGGGAAGACCAAGGCCCAAGGAGGTGGAATGACAAGATCACACAGAGCCTAGAAATTAGGTTTCCTGACTCCCAGATCAGTTTTTTCCCCTCCCCCAGGCTGCCTCTGACTTAAACCACCAAGGAGGGTCCCTCTAAGCTGAGGAGGATAGAGTGGCATTTGGGTCACATATAGGGTCCTCATCCAATTTGCTGTGTGGCCAGGGGTAAGTTGCTGTCCCTCTCATCATCAGGAGCCCTGATTTCCATAGCTGGGAATGAGGTTGAGAAAATGGGTGGCTGAGGACCTCTGTGAGATCCATGCTTCCCCATCCCAGGCCCCGGCACCCCCACCTCCACTCCCACTCACATATTCCTGGAGCAGCTGCTCAGCGTATTTGGTGAGGAGGTGGGCAAGGCTGTGTGTCTGACGGATCTTGGCTTCCAAGTGGGGAAGGAGTGAGACTGAGGAGTCAGCCTGGGGGTCTTCTGGTGGGAGAGTGGGGCAGGAATGAGAGCAGCCCCCACCCCTGCTCCTTGACCTCCCCCCCACCCCCCAGACTGCCTCTTCCTTCTAAACCCAGAAGCTCTGTTCTGAATTCTCCAACTTTCAAGTCAGGCAGGGTATGTCCCATTCCAACTGAGAGAAAATGAGACACCAGACCTTTGTCAAGTGGTTGATTTACCTGAAATATATACTCTGTCCACAAATCACCATTGAAATCCTATTATAGACAAATTCAAATTACAGCCAAATTCAAATACAGTCATGCATTGCTTAACAACTGGGATATGTTCTGAAGAATGCATCATTAGGCAATTTCATCACTGTGCAAACATCATAGAGTGTACTTACACAAACCTAGATGGTATAACCACCTACGTGCTCAGGCTATATGGTGTAGCCTATTGCCCCTAGGCTAAAAACCTGTAAAGGATGTTACTGTACTGACTACTGTAGGCAATTGGAACACAATGGTGAGTATTGTGTGTCTAAACATATCTAAACATAAAAAGGTACAGTATAAATACATATTATAATCTTATATGCTGGGCATGGTGGCTCACACCTGTAATCCCAGCTACTTGGGAGGCTGAGGTGGGAGGGTCGCTTGAGGCCAGGAGTTCAAGACTAGCCTGGGCAGCATAGCAAAACCCTGTCTCTAATAATAATGATAATGATAATCTATGGGACCACCGTTGTATATGCAGTCTGTTGGTTGACTGAAATGTTGTTATGCAGAGCATGACTATACTGCCTTCTCAGTGCAGCCTCTAGAATCACCCCTCCCTAAACGAACTTTGATTTGAGGCCATTTGTTCATACTTCCAAGGTAGCTCTTTCAATGGCTCTTTTCCATGTGTATCTGCCTGAGCCTGGGAGCCCTTTAAGGATAGGGCTTACCTATCTCTGTACCTCAGTGACTGTTGGTGGAACTCAACATCGCTGAAGCACAGAACTTTAAATCAGAATGTGCCTTTAAGGCCCATTTTACAGAGAGGGAGACTGAAGTCCCATTCTCTCCCTGATGCCTCTTGTATGTAAGGCGCTGGGCTGGGCAGAATCAACGAAATAACGTCCGGCCTCCCCTGGCACAAACCAGAGTGTGGCACCCCAGGAGGGACTACACTTCCCGAAACGCACAGCGCACACCCAGTGCATGCTGGGGAATGTAGTCCTGGCCCGGCAACTCCCGCCCCGCCCCTCGCCTGAGTTTCCCACCGCCGGTCCCGATCTCTACCAGTCCTGACTTTCGTCTCCTGTTGTCATTCGCTAGCTCCTGTGCATCAAAGGCTTCCTTCTAACTCTACCTCTCGTCCTGGCCGCCCAGCTCTGATTCTTTACCAATACTGAGAGTGAACCCAGGCGTCCTGCCCCAGCCCCGACCCCAGTCCTCCCTCAGGGTGTACTCGAACAGGTTTTCTAACCCCAAGTCCAAGTCCCTGAAGCCTCAGCCCCAGGCCTCCTCTAAACCCTTGAGCCTGCCGCTTCTCACAACTTCTAGTTACCTGACACCGGAGCCCTGCTCTTCCCCGCCCAGGCCGCTCCCCTCCCGGACCCGGGGGTGACGGAACCCAGACCCCGGCTTCCAACCCTTCTGATTCCTGCTCCCCTCAGGGACCCAGCAGCGTACGGTGCTCCAGCCCCTTACCCAGACTTCCCTCCCTCCGGCTCATGCTGGCCCCCGGCTGATCCCGGTTCCCTCCACGCCCCCCTTTCGAGGGGGGAGAAGAGGGAAAGGGCTGGGGGCGGGGCCCAGGCTCAGCCAATCAGAGCCCAGACCCCAAACATTTCACCCCCCCCCCTCCAGGCAAGATTCCTGGGCCCTGAGCTCAGGTCCCGCCTGTGGGGCCTAGTAGGGGAAGGGGCCGAGGGGGAGACAGGTTGTTCGCACAGTGCACAGGACCTCAGGGCTGGGGGTGTCGGGGCCTGAGAGGCAGCCCAGCGTCCTGCCCCAGGAGGAGGCTCAGGCTCCGACCTGAGGCAGGGACGATGGCTGGGACTGCTTTGGAGGGAAAGCTGGGGAGACAGGAAAGGGAAACTGCAAGAGTGGCGGGACAGGAATGCACAGGCCTTCCCTCCCACTTGACTTGTCTGATTCTACCATCCTATTCCTCCATCCATTCATTCAACAATCTCTTGACTGCATGCCAGACAGAGAGTATGCGTCTCTCTATGCAAGAGAGGCTGCGGTGGGGGCCCTCAGGCGAGGGGCACACTTATCTGTCACTCTTACTGTTACACCTACCAAGAGGGAGCCAGACAAACCACTTTACCTCACCTCGCCAGGCCCAGTGAGAGAACTCCACTGATATACACATGCGCACACATGCACGCTCACACGCATCCACTGAAGGGTTAATGTTTACCGACACTCATTCTGACACGGAAGCAAACTTCAGAGACCTGTACAGGAGGTCACACCCATACATCAACCCATTAGCCTGGTGTAGACTCTGAAAGGACTGTACACACTTATGCCCACAAATGGTTCCCAAGCACCTACTCTGTCCTGGGCGCTGGGTCAAAGATGATCCATACTTGGTTTCTGGCCCCTAAGGAGCTCACAGTCTGAAGGGGAACCATAGACAACAGCAGGTAATGGGGGGTTGTGAGTGAAGGACTGGGAAGGGAGCCCATGTGTCTGTGAGGATGTTGTCATGAGCAGACAACTGCTAGAATAAAGGAAGAAAAAGATTAACTGGCAGAGGACACAGCAAGTGCAATTGAACCAGACTGTTAGTAGTGGCCACGAGACACACTTATTAACAGAGAATATTTATTGGGCATTTAGTATGTGCTGGGCATTGTTCTAACAGCTTTGCACATGCTCCCAGGTTATAGGTGAGGAAGTAGGGAAAAGTGACTTGTCCAAGGCCACACAGCTGGGTGTGGCAGAACTGGCAAAGTACCTCAGCAGTTTGGCTCCAGAAATACTGTCATAACCATGCTCCTAACCCCTTATCCCCTCAACCTCTGGACACGGTCACAACAAAACTCACAGACACAACAGACACACCTTGAAACACACATACAGCAGTTGCAAATTTAGACATGGTCATATCTGCTAACAAGCCAGCCTCAAATAAAATCAACCAAGACACACTCGTTTTCTTTAAGGAAACTTTTAATTGAGTGTAATACACGTACAGAAAAGTGCATACATCATAAGTGTACTGCTTGATGAATTTTCACAAAATAAATATGTCCAGGGAGCCAGCACCAGATGACAAAATAGGATGGCCAGCTCCAAGAAGCCTCCTCCTACCCCTTCCCAGTCCGAAGGGTGGCCACTATCCTTACTTCTCACACTGTAAAGGAGTTTTGTCTGGTTTTGAACTTCATATAAATGGATTCATACAGTGTATAGTGTTTTATCTGTTTTTTTCCATTCAAGATTTATTCATACTTGTCAGTGTTGTTGGGTGTAGCAGGACATCAGTCATTCTCCTTGCTGTGTCTATGTCCATGGTAATGAATATAGTATAATTTATTTTCCATTTTATTGATGGGTTATTTCCAGCTTGGGGTTATTATAAATAGTGCTATGAACATTCTAGTACATGTCTCTTGGTGCTCACACCTACGCATTTCTGTTGGGTGTTGACAGCCTAGGAGTGGAATTGCAGGATCATAGGGTTGGCATATGTTTGGCTTCACTAGAAAACTGCCAGTTTTCCAAAATGTCTCTACCAATTTACACTCTGCCAGAAATATAGGCGAGGTCCAGTCGCTCTACTTCCTCGCCTACACTTGGGATGGTCTGTCTTTTTCACTTTAGCCATTCTGGTGGGTGGAGATCCAGACATACTCTCCGTCTGGCATGCAGTCAACAGATTGTTGAATGAATGGATGAAGGAATAGGTTGGACAGCGTAGAATCAGACAGCCTGGCGAGTGCAGACACACACGCACACGCTCCGCACACCGCGTTCCAGGGACGCCCACCCGCAGCGGACGCACACCAGGACTCAGACCCCCTCGCGCACCCGGCGCACACGTGGCCTGAACGCACGGCCTCGGCCCGCCGCGCGCGTCCAGTCGCCTAGCTGCCCCCAACTCTCCTCTCGGCGGCGGGCAGGGGGCGCTGCGCGTCCCGGCGCCCCGAGGGGGCGGGCCCGGGGCGGGGCGGGGCCGGCCGGGCTTCCAGGCCTGGGCTCTGGCCGCCGGCGCCGCCAGGCCGCTCGGGGGACTGGCCCGGGCGGGGCGCGGCGGCAGGAAACGGGGCGGGGACTCGCGGAGGCGTTGGGGAGCGAGGGAGGGCGCGGCCAACTCCCGGAGGGACGGCAGCCGAGAGAGCGGCGCCCCGGCCTGGCGCCGAGCCTGAGCCCGCCGGACGGGAGGCGGCCCCGCCGCGGGCTCGGCCCCGGCCCCAGCCCCGCCAGCATGGCCGGCCGGACCGTACGGGCCGAGACCCGGAGCCGGGCCAAGGATGACATCAAGAAGGTGATGGCGACCATCGAGAAGGTCCGGAGATGGTGAGCGCTGCCCGGGGGCCAGGGAAGGGACATGGCGGGACCGCCACCACCAAATGCGTCTGCCCTCTCCTCGCCAGCTGTGGCCCCCAGGTGTTAGGTGTGCCCTGGGCCGACAGGGCTCTATCCTTCTTCCCCTGGCTACTCCCTGGGGTCTACAAAGCGTGGTCCCCAGCTGTGCCCTCCCAGAGCCGGAGCCTCCATTTATGCCCCGCCCCCTAAAGCTTTGACACTCCTGCAAGTAGCCCCAGCTCTTCATTGCTGAGATCCCTATGATCCTGGTCCAGCCAGGTCCATGGCGGTGCCCCTTATGTATGCCCCAGGGGTCTGCAGAGCCACAGCCCCACATCATGCCCTCTCTCTGGAAGCACCCATCCATGCCCTGGGGTTTGCAGGGCTCTCTCTCTCCATCCAACTATGCCCCATTAGCGAAACTTGCCCTACCCCTCGTGTACCCCACACCTTTGCAGGTACCCCCAGATGTGCCCAGCTCCTGGGGGACTCTCCCCTCAGGCCTCTCTGACCCAGCCCCCCCACCCTCCCACAGGGAGAAGCGATGGGTGACTGTGGGGGACACTTCCCTTCGTATCTTCAAGTGGGTGCCAGTGGTGGACCCCCAGGAGGAGGTGAGCAAGCCCCCCCCCCCAACCAAGGCCCTGCATCTGTGCAACCTCAGGCAAGCCCCTCCCCACCCTGGGCTCTACCTCCAGCCCCCACTCTGAAAACTCAAATGCAGCAGTACCGGGGACAGATGTTAACGATTAGTAGCAACTCCTCCCCCTTTTCCCTTTTTCCTCCTCCAGACCCCTGAGTTCAAGACCTAACCCGGTGTGCACAAACTGTCACTTGGGGCAGGGGTTTTTGCTTTTCTGTGCCTCACTTTCCTTATTTGTACAGTGGGAGCTTTGCAAGAGCAAAATAGAAAGCTGGCTCTGACCCTTATCCCTCTAACCCCCAGGAGCGACGTCGGGCAGGTGGTGGGGCAGAGAGATCCCGTGGCCGGGAGCGACGGGGCAGGGGTGCCAGTCCCCGAGGGAGTGGCCCTCTCATCCTGCTAGATCTCAATGGTATGTAAGGATCCTGGAATTTGGGGGGCTATGGGAATTGAAGGAAGATCCATCCTGGGGACCTCAGGCCAAACCTCTGTGCTTTTGCTCCAACAGATGAGAACAGCAACCAGAGTTTCCATTCGGAAGGCTCCCTGCAAAAGGGCACTGAACCCAGCCCTGGGGGCACCCCCCAGCCCAGCCGCCCTGTGTCACCTGCTGGACCCCCAGAAGGGGTCCCTGAGGAAGCTCAGCCCCCACGGCTGGGCCAAGAGAGAGGTAGGACCAGATGCCTCCCAGGAGTCTCCTGGGAGGAGACTCTCCTCTCCTCTGAGTCCTGTCCTGTGCAAAGTTGAACACACCAGCTTACCCCATGCCTGCTCCCCTCGGGTGCTGCCCCCTGGGGCCCTTCGCTGACTCCGCAGACTCTCCCCGCTGCTGTCTGCTTCATTCTTCTGGCTTTTTAGGACCCATAGATAACATGTCACCACCTGAGATTTCCACGTAAACTTAATTTTTGAGCAGTTTATTGTCTTTCGCCCCACTCCCATCTCATATCACTTTCCTGAATGTTAGGTCTTTATTGATCTTGTTCACTACAGTATCCTGGAAATATCACGGGACACATAATAGGTGCTCAACAAATATTTGTTGAATAAAAATCGAATAGTTATTCAACTCCCCACTGCTAAATTTGACTGGCTTTAAAAAAAGTAACTAATAGTGATAAGCATAAGAGTGACAAATAGTAGTAGGGATAACAACAGCTAATATTTCTTTTTAAAAATTTTTATTTTCTTTTATCTTCTTTTTATCTTTTTCTCTTTTTTTTCTTCAAGATTGGCCAGAAGGAAAACAACAGCTAATATTTATTGAGCTCCTACTGTGTGTCAGGCACCCTTCTAAGCACTTTATATGTTTTTTTCTCATTTAATTCTGACTATGACCTTATAAGGGGATGATCCTGTTATGACTGTCTTTATAGATGAGGAAACTGAGACTCAGAGAAGTTGAGTAAGTTGCCCAAGCTCACACAGCCCCTGAGCCAGCTTCTGGGGCCTAAGTCCACCTCAGCTCCTCCTAAGTCCACCTCAGCTCCTTCTCTTCCATACGGAAGGCCCTGTCTGGTCGGCACACTGCCCGCATGTGTCTCCCTTCCTCTGCCTCCCCCAGCCCTGCCCTAGCCTTCCCGCCTCTCCCCTGCACCTGGCTTCAGCCTCCTCACTGGTCTCCTCTAGTTGCCTCCAC